ATTAGGAAAGGAAAGAAAAAGGATCAATGTCGAGATTAAGGATTTGAAGTGAGAATGTATTATAAACTTATCTGTATATATCTAATGCAATGTTTACTCTCTGTAAATGCAATGTTTCTAATGACAATGCTATAAGGAATCGATGAAAGATCAATTTATAGGACAAATACAACGTAGAGTTTGCATAAATTGTAACTAAAACGAATGACATAATCATGATACTCAGTGTTCAAGGTGTTAAATGTTACATCTAGTTTCATAAGTAATATTCTCATGGGAATGCCATTTGTCAAGAATGTCCTGACAATCCAGTAAATTGTGCCATTTAGGGACTAAATTGTGTCAAGAACATCCTGACAACCCAATTGTGTAATATCTATAAGACACTTAACTAAAACCTAAACAAATCAATAGTAAACTCTATGGGTAAGTTAAGAACATTTCTTGATCATAAAATAGTTTTCATACATTCAACATAAGACCAATTTACGAAACATATAACTTTAAAGGCGACAAAAAAAATTGACTTATTTAAATTTTATATAATTAACTCATGAAATATAATGTAAGATTTAAAACCTCATATGTGGTGCAATTTAATTGGCTATCCTGACAAAACTCTTGGGCTTTTGACATGAAATTTTCTCTCTTATCATAACATATCATAGAAAAATAATTTTTCACATTCGACCAAAGATTTTAATATCTAACCAAAAAGGATAAGTCGGTCTTGGGAATGCAAGGAATGGTTCTGTAAAATTTTATTGTTATAAACAACGGTGCTAGAATCAAGTACAACATTGTATATTGTCAAACATTAGCATTATTGAAAATTTGATGAGTAGGAAAAACAAATTTGATGTGATCACAAATAGTCCATGGAGGCCATTCCCAAACATGATGATCGTTATTTTTATTTTCGTTGGAAATTTATTTGTGTAGGTATCAAGGATCAATGATGAAAGGTTGAAACCGAAAATATAAATTAAAGAAAAATTTAGCTGGGTTCTATGACTTCTATCGACCTTTCAGTGGGCTATACTAAGTTGACGAGGTAATTGCATTTTTATTAGTTTTTAGATTTTTATATTTTCCGATTTAATTTATTTTTTCTTGATAGTTTTTATTATATTTTTTAAGAATACAACTAAGGGAGTTCGCAAATAATACGAGACATGTGCGAATATTTAGAAAGTGTTACTTAAAATCTACAAATAACTCTAATGGAATTTTTGTCCTATTTTTTTGTGGCCGATCACAGCCTCCTTACTTAAAGGGGTCTAACACTTCATTGTAAATAGAGATTTTGATAAATTTTAAAGATGAAAACAAGAGAAGATCTTTTGTTTTTCATTGTTTTTAGGTGGTTAATTTGTCTTATGTGAATCTATAGAATGACACTTGTAACAATCGTACTCTTAAATTTAGTGTTCTCAATTAATGAAGATTTGTTAGTCATTTCATGGAATTTTATCACGCCGTTTCTTCAAAAGTTGAAAGACAAGGATTGTTTGAGGAGTATCTAAAAGACTACTAGCTAGACCACTTGATCATCCCTAATCTTTATGTCTTTCTTGTTCCAAATTTCTGTTAAAAAAAATCTCTAACTTCTATTGTTTGGTTTGAGTTTTTTTTTTTGAGGAATCCAAGTCTTGTAGTTTCTTCCACGTTAATAGAAAATTTTCATGTCAAAGTTATTTAAAAAATCAATCTCCCTGAACTTGTGCCATTAGTATGGAGAAATTTTGGGAATTTATCAGTATCATTCACATTGATAGACATTCACAACTTTGTTAAGCATTGTTTATGTTGATAGTTTTTCAGTGGTCAACCTCAATTGTAGAGAAATGAATCTATTTAACAGAATATATTTTTTTCTAATAGGTTATGGGTTCGAGTCACGTAGAAAGTAATTAGGAAATTACCATTGATCCCTTTGGAAGGGGGAAGGAAATAATTTACTTGAAACATGGAATTATGTATGGATGATGTGATTTCTCATGTTTAAACGTGATATGAACTGTTTTTTTTTTTTTTTTTTAAAAAAAGGGTTTACGTGATATCATTAGAATTTGGGTTAAGGTTCTTGTTTTAGGTGAATTTATAAATATTTATTACACTCTGTTTCTTTAAATGAATAGAGAAAAAAATCAAAAAATACATCACCGAATTTGTCTTGTTTGTGTTCATTACTCTGTCCAAATTCCGTCCACCGAGTACTATCAATATGCTTCATCTATGGCAAGAAATCTGAGTTTTTGATAAAAAAAAAAAAAAAATTTAAACAGAGAGTGGACAAATATATTGCTCTTTCTTTGGAGTGAACAAAAATACCAGTCTCTGATTTCCTAAATCCAAGTTAGGCGTAAAATCGGGTTTCAAAAATTTTCATTTAATTATGAAAATTATTTTATTAATCATAATTAAGGTAAACTCAGATTTCTCAAATCCTAATTTTAGCATTATAATAATATTTTAGAGAAAAAAACTTAATTTTTTGGCGGAAAAGATATTGACTAAAATCGAACTTGGTAAATCCGACCTTCAACATTTTTTTTTTTTTTGAAGAAAAGATGAACGGGTTTCCAAACCAGTCCAAATCTATCACAACAGCATACAAAACCCAAACTAATAAGTATTAAAGAGTTCAAAAATATTTATACTATAAAGTTCTGCACCACATTACATTCAAATCACAAAAGTATTGAAATTACAAACATATGAAAATTACATCACTTGAATCCATATAAATTTTGATACAATGAACTCAATGTGAAAAATACATTTCTATCTGTGGACTATAAGAATTTATTTAGAGTAATCTTTATAGAGAAACTAGTACATTATCTAGTCGTTTATACGAAACAACGTATTGAAATTAAAACCTTGGTGCCTAGCTGAAAAATTCGCTTCACTTGCTAAATGTGAGTTTAAACAGATTTCTTTTATATGAAAAAAATGGATTGGCTTTTAGAAGCAGAGCAGATACCAATATCTCAAACTTATGATTTTGTAGTGCCCATATCCACATAGAGCACAATAGGAGCGCGGGATCGAAGGTTTTTCTTCGCCGGTGGAAACGGAGATGGAGCAGGCGAATTGGAAGCATCGCCAGATTTGATCAAATTAGCGGCTAGGGTTTATTTGAATGAATTTAGGAGAGAAGAAAAAGTAAAATGGGTGAATAAAATTCGAATTTTTAAAATTAGACATAAAAAAAAAAACTCAAATTTTGAGAATCCAATCTTGAACTACTCAAATATTGGAAATTCGAAATTTCTTAGATAATTTTAGGGTTTGGAATTTTGAGTATAACTCGGATTTTGGAAATTCAAGTTAGCTGAAAAATCGATTTTAAAAAATCCAAACAAATATTTTTATCTCGGATTTTGAAAATTTGAATTTTTTATTAACTCGAATTGTTCTATTTGTCATTTAACTCGGATTATTGAAATTTGATTTTTCTTTATCTCGAATTTTAAAAATCGAGTTTATATTAACTCGATTTGTAGAATCCGATTTGTTTTTTAAATCTGCATTCATTGTAAATTAAGAGTTTCAAATATGGTATTGTATGTCAATTTAATTTGCAAAAATATATGTATCAGTGTTAATGTTGTGTGGTATTGTATTTAAACCTACTATATGTGAAATGTAGTGAGTAATAGAGTTAAAAACAATTTATAACAATAGTACATATGGTATGTAATTAGTAACAGACAAATTATAATGGATAACAGTATTAATGATAGTAATGTGTAACAATGTCAATAATAATATGTAACAGTAGTACATATGCTATCTAATGTATAACAGTATTAATGGTATTATGTCGTACTAGTAAAAATGATATCTAATGAGTAACAGCGTTATAAGTAACACATAACAATAGTACCAGTGATACATAATGGATAACGGTATTAATGATAATACATCGTACTTGTACATGTGATATCTGATGTATAACAACGTTAATGGTAGTAATGTAGAACAATGCTAATAATAATAAGTAACACTAGTACATATGATATCTGATGTGTTAAACTAGTCCAGATGAATGGTGCTAAATAATGGGTAACAATATTAATGGTACTACATAATATTAGTACATATGAATAGTACATAATACTACTACAAACGAATTTAAATGAATTAATTTAATGCAAATTCTTAATAGTGTTAATAATAATACGTAACACTAGTACATATATTTTTTCGTTAATAAAAATTCCTACCAAACGGTTATTAATTATTAGTAATATTAGATTTTGTTAATATCAGATCAAATACAATATTTTTTATTTTTTAAAGTGTATCTACAGTCAATTTAATGCGAATTACTACCAAAATTCAAATAAATTTTCAAAATTTTTCGCACTTAATTTTTCCGTCCTTCAATTTTTTGTTTTTTAAATAACAAGGTTGGATTGGCCAAATTTAAGTTTCACTGTTTATTTATTGGCCGAATTTTCTTGTATCTTCCCACAATATTTTAATTGGTCGGATTTTTCTGATTTAATTAGTAACTCGGATCTGGAAAGTCCGAGATAGATATTTTTTGTCAAAAAAAAAAAAAAATTATTTCGGTCTACTCCCATTTAAAAACCATTTTTTAAGTCAAGCACCCGATCCGTGACTATGGAACCCTTTGCGGCTCTGTTCTGGATAATGTGAGAGTATGTCCTACAAAGTTTTAATCATCCTCAAATACAGCAGGGAAATAAGCTGCTTTTTGGTGTGTTAGTAGAATTTCGGTTATGATTATTCAGTCCTCTTCAGCAGGCTTGAATACTGATTGATAAGAGCAAAATTTACTACTGCTTAGTTAAGCCATATAGAGATTTTTAATCTTGATGCCATCCGCTTCTTTATTTGGCTTAGTGCCTTGAAGCGTGATGATTGGAATGGCTATATACAGACCAGTGTTTACATTTGTCATCCCACAATGTGATGCATTTTTCACTAAAGTTGAGGCTTAGCCAGCTTAGTTCTTTATGCTTTTATTTTGCTTGGGGTTTTTTTATGTTCATCGATATCCCTCTGCCAAGTACCATAGAATAAACGATTTCTTCATCGATCTTTTGGTGGTAAAACGAGCTGTAGAATGTTATTCTTGTCCTGTCTGAAATAGCCTTGAAGCTAGCACTCTTGAATTGGCCCTTCCCTACGGATTGGAAAGGAACTTTCACAGTAGTGCCGGCAGCAAATGCTTCAACCACCATTGATCCGCGGCAACCATTCTTCGCGTCGCCTACCATGAATACGAGGTTGTACACCTTGTTAGCGACTGTTCTAATGATTTGTGCAACTGCACTCCCTCTTCCTGCCACCAGTTCTAAAGCTGCAATTCCGTGAGGACATTAAAAAGAGCTTTAATCATATCTACCCAAGAGAAAGGGTAGATATGATTAAACTGGAGATCAGATGGAAGGTGCAGATTGGAGGCATGAAGTTAAAGCAGTAGGAAGTAGGCTTTTTGAATAGAACTGGATTGCAAATCTGTATAAGATAGAAGCAGAATGAGATGAAATGAGGATTTGTAAATGTTGTACAGAACGTTCTTAGTTTTTGGCATATATAATATTTACCTTTTACCACAAAAAAAAAAAAAAGAATTTCACGGCCTTGAGTGATTCGATAACCCATCCAGGGAGTGGTGATGTCGTGTCTTCCTGCCTTGGAGGTAGAAGCACACCACAGGGTATTTTGATTAACTTGTGATGGCCCTCCTCAAAATCTCCATTCTTGACCAAGTTCACTGCAAACACTTATTCCACAGATAAATGAACAAAAATGAATGTAACTTCATATGGACTGTCTCAAAAAAAAGAGAAACGGTGCTGAAGGTCTAATTAGTTGGAAATGAATTGAGGGTTGTGATCGACTATGACATGAAAACATATTAGGACAAAGATATCAGTTTTAGGGTAATTATTTTGACCAATGCTACAGCCTCAAATGTCTAGAATGTCGAATAGATAAGTACTGTTACAGGCTCATTAAAATCTACACATTCATTCTAACACCTCTTTCAGTCACCTTAGCTTATTTACAAACCTACTCCAATCCTACAATGGCACCAAACACAGAATTTGTGCATATCCAGGACTGAAGAAATTGGGATTTTAATATTGTTCAGAGAACTACATTTCACAACTGAAAAAAGCAGATCATGGATAAGCAAGGAATCTAATAGGACACATTTTACAGAAACATAAATGAATTATCAACAATGGCAAAAATGGAATAAATGTACCTCTAGATGGCCTAGGTGGGGCGAGTTCTTTGATAGCAACAGCATCAATAAATAGACCACAAGCAGGATCTTCTTGAACTACAGGATTGTGAAAGGTGATTTTGACATAATTAGAGGTGGCAATGAACCCCCAAGCAATTGTATCACCACCATTGCTGCTATACAGATTTTGCAGAGGTATGTTTGAGAAAGCAGAGACCCTCAAAACCTCATCTTGTGCACAGTTTCTTGAAGTCCCAAATGTGTGTGCATAAAGAGGTCCCTTTTCACAGGAATTGTTTGGGAACACCATGAGCAATTGCAAAGTACATTCCACCAGGTTGAGCTTTCCTGAAAGTACTCAACTCTGCTGGTAGTCTCCCATTTGGATACTGCATTTTTTCCCTGAAGCACTGATTTTTTTAATGTTCTTTAGGTCTGGTTGTTCTCATTTGGGAATTAGCCCTGAAGAAGAAAACAGCAGAGGAAATATCATCATTAGTATAGTTTAAAACAACAAAGGCGCCTTTTTTTTTTCCCCGAAAATACAATATGAAAGCCTGATACATACAAACATGTGTTCTTTAGGAGGAGACCAACACAAAATGAGATACATACTACCAAAAAGAAATGTGGGATGTTAGATGTATTGTCACCTTCACAGGGCAACGAATAACAACCCTGTTAGCAGCGGCAGAAAAAAGGAGATACTTGTCGACCATAAAACAAATAGCAAAAAGCATTGCAAATCCATGAATGTTATGACAAGTGTTTTGACTCAAATACTTGTTATTTAAACACCATGTATAGGATTTCTCTTTGAGCTTGTGTATTTAGAGCTCCCCTAAAGCTAGCATTCAACACATATATGGAAACTGTTGCGGACGTTAAACCTGAACAAGAATGAGTAAATGTAGGCCATGCACTCAGTACTCCTGGTTCATGGATAAGAAGGAAAATGAGTAGAAGGCGGCCAGAGAGCTGGATCGACCAATACTGCATTAATTGGAAAGCTACGCAAAAGATCATATCCCTACTCCAATCACCTGAAAGAAACAATAAAGTGGTAGGGCATCCTTTGAAAAAGGAAAATGTTAGTTGAAATAAAGAAAAATAAGTTTTACCTAAAGCAGAGAAATCGGTGAGACTATGGGTATTCCTGGGCAACATTCACTTTATGCAGTTTCAGTTCTACAGAAGCAGAACAATATAAAGCTTGTGAGTAGGTAATGGAACTTATATTTTGCAATTGGGAGATGAAGCTATCCATGGCGCTAGGGCAGAATCCAGTTCCACAAGGCATTACATCAAGAGTATTGGTACCGGTTCCACTTCCACATCTTTGTAAGGTGGCGCGTGTTGAGAAAAACGGAAGGCACACTGAAAGGAAAAGAAAAAATAGTTTCTCAACTGGAATGATCATGTTGAACATGCGCAAATCATTATACTTGAAACCTATCAGACGATTATGGACAAAATTGTGATCTTGAGCAGGCATAATGGCCACCATAGTCATGTACAACCTGATACTTTCACTGACAAGCATAGGTCCACATTCTAAGCTATTATGTCCAAGCACCAATGACAAATCCAAATAACCTATCTATTTTTAACTAAAATTAAAGCAACAAGAAACAATTCAGTGGCAGTTGGAATTGAATGTGGAACATCTTGCTGAGTTAATACTTTAAAAATAGGAGTCGAGGGAGCTATTACAGCAATGATTAGCCTGAAGGAACAAGTCCTGAATTCAATTTGATTACAACAGAAAGAGCAAGTCTTGCAACCATAAACCCAAATGTTGTAACTAACCCAAATGTTGTAACTATCTGCAATTATTACTGAGAGAAGCGGGGAATCCCTACCTTTCCAGTAACTTAAAAAAAAATTCATTGAAACATGATGGGAATGGAATTTCAGAAATCTAAAATCACAGAAAAGAGTGAAGAAATAAAAAAATGCACCTGCAAGAAATCATAAACTGATAAGTTGAAGGTGATTGCTGAAATAGAAGGACAAATATTTGAATGGAGGACAATCTTTATAAATTGCAGATTGTGGACTATAAGCTAGTTTCAACAAAAGTTACACTCACAGATAAACCTAGATTTCATACAAATTGCATACCATTGGACAATTTCCCATTTTCAAATTAAACATCAGAAGAGCTAATAAACTATTGAGAAGTGAAATTGGGGAAAAAAAAAACAAGAAGAAGAACATAAGCAAAAGCAAGAGGAACAATAAAACATTACATTACCGATCGAATGCCACTCCCCGATGTTCTTCTCTGCTTCCTCTTCTCGTCTTGATCATTTTTCTCATCGTCATCATGGTTGTTCTACATCACTGTCATTATCTTCATCTTTATAACGATCCTCATGCTCTTTATAGTGACGATCATGAACGCCAAAAACCTGATCCAAGACAACTAACTGGAGATCTTGGTTTCCCATCTCCAGTTGTTCTTCCACAATTGATGCCACTAAGTCTGAGACTCTAGGAGATCCAACCAAACGAATGGTGTTCAAGGTATAGATTTCTCCAAAGCTACGAGGAATCTCCTCAAGTCTCTTACAATAGTACACAAAAAGCCTCTCAAGAAAAGGAAATGGGGGATTCTCACAGCAGTCAGAGTCGTTTATTTGTTGAACATTCATCCAATATAATTTCAAATATTTAAGTTTTGAGAAAGCTCCATCTTGCAAATCCCATGTTGGCCCCTTGAATGCATTAAAATGTAACTTGAGAGTTAGGAGATTTGGGAGCTGGCCAATTGTTGACATGGCACTCCAAGGCAGTTCTAAGTTCCACAAAGACAGTTTCTTAAGAGGCTCCGGAAAGTTTAATTTTAGATTTCTACAATCATAGTTGGGAAACAAGAGACCTCCATGTTTAGAAAACAAGAGCTTTCCATCACTGTCAGTCTCGTAACACTTAGAAATCATTAAGCTCTCTAGCTTTTGCAAAGATCCAAACATGGATAGCCACTCGGGACGAAACTCTTCATCCTTATAAAAACAGTTTAACTTCCTAAGCCTAGGTAAGTTTCTCAAAAACTCCTGCGTCTTAACATCATACTGAAGAACTATTCCCTCAAAGCACTCAATCTGACTTGCTGCTGCTGTTAAGGACACATTCTTCCCAAAGTCATTGAAGTCAAGACAAGAACTCACAATTTGGACATCACATAAACTTTTTATCCCCCATAACACTTTTGGTAATGATAACATAAAATGTTCTGAGTATAAAATAAGTGTTTCCAAGTTCCACAAGTTAGCTATTGACAATGGAACATGAGAAAAAGAGCCACGCAAAGCCAAATATCTCAAATGAACATTGAACAAGATTACTTCAGGAAACTTACACCCACGCAGACTTACATCAAACATATTCAACACCGTAAGAACTCTAAATCTGCCAAGAAAGGAAGACAAGAATCTATATTGTATTGGTCCAATATCACGAGAAGATGACAAAAGAGAGTGAACCTGGCTGGTTGGTAGTTCCTTTCTGAGAGAATCGGATGTAAGTTGGGTGAAAGTTGGATTCTTGTCACAAATGCTAACCCAATGATGGTGGAAGCTATACTTTCTGGGACGAGACGGATGAGATTCATTAAGAGCAATTCTATAGTCAACCAAATGTAAGATATCATCTTCGATGGCTTTCTGTAAGCACAAGTCGTATAGGAGATCATGAATATTGCAATACTTTATCTTCCCTGTTAAACCTCTTTCAGTGGCAACAACTAAATTTTGAGAAACAAGATATTCCAAGTACTCCCTTCCCAAATCAACTGAGCACCGCCTCTCATTTTCCTTGACAAATCCTTCAGCTATCCAAATGCGTATTAAATGTCCGGCAGGAATTTCTTCACCCCTTTGAAAACCAGTTCCAAAGTAAAGAAAGCATGGTTTTAAATGATGGGGCAAATACTTGTAACTCATCTCTATTATGTGCATGCACCCTTCACTTGCAAGGTGGGATTTCATATTGTCTAACACTTCCATCCACAACTCAAATCCTTGTGATGTCCTTTTGAGGTGAGAGGCAATTAGGCTAACTGCCAACGGTAGCCCTTTGCAAGAAACTGCAATTTGTCTTCCTACCTCTTCAAGTTCTAGAGGAAACCCATCAGAGTAAGAAAGCTTATCTTTGATCAATTCCCAACTTTCTTCATCAGAAAATAATGGAAGACGATGAGAAATCGAATTCGGATTACATTGTGAAGCTAGAGCGTCGTTTCGACTGGTAAACAAGATCCGACTTCCATTGCTATCATCAGGAAATGAATCTTTCAATTGATACCAGGCATCAACATCCCAAATGTCATCCAAAACAATAAGATATCTATGACCCTTCAAACTTCTCCACACCCGCTCAACTAAATCTTGCATTTCAATGTTGGCATCCACGACACCACTGTCACCCCATAAAATGCTGGCCAATAATCTTCTTTTCTTACTTTCTTTGGAAACATAACACCATGCAATTTTGTGAAAGTGATAGTTTATTGAAGGATCATGACAAATTTGCCTGGCTAATGTTGTCTTGCCTTGGCCAGGCATTCCAGAAATGGAAATGATAGTGAGATCCTTCCCTCCATGCAGAAGGTAATCTGATATTAATTGTGCATCCTCCCCAAAGCCTATAAAACTTCCTTCATGTTTGGAAGTTGTTGGTTGTGGTAGGATAGCATTACTAGACTCCATCTCAGTTTTGAGCTTATTGTTGCTATTGCTACACATGAAAAGCTTACCTTCAATCTTTTCCACCTCACACTTGGCAAGTTTTATGTCTTGTATGATGTTTGGTAGGCATAAGATACCATACCAAACTGAGGAAGTAGTGATTGGGCACAACTTTGAGACATACGATGCATAGTGTATCAAGTTGACAACTTGGGTATGTAAATCTATGATTAAACCACTATCACTGGGTATTTCCATAACATGTTGTAGAAATGGCCTCAACAATGCTAGCCCTTCATGAATTCCTATAACATGATTCTTGACTGAAGGAATAAAATCAACCCGCCCTTTCAACATTTCCTGCAGTGTCTCTAAGAGCGAGTCGAGAAATACTATTACATTAGTCATTGGAGAATTGAATTGTGATGAGAGAGTAGTCACAGCATACAACTCACTTACTTTAACCTTAACTCCATCAATCTTAAGAAGGAAACTAGACAATTTAGTTTTCTCGAGAATGCACATAATGTAAGGCACCTCGCTGATAATAGCATCAATTTCAGCTAATATAAATTCTGTTCCAGCAGAGATCATGTGATTCGGTGTGTCCAAGACAAATGAGAACAAGAACAACAACCCCTCGCGAACAATTTCAACATCATCAATCACATATTGTTCAAGAAGAAGATCAATATAACCCGCAAGCAGTGAAGGAAGCGTTGTACCTTGACGTTTACGATAATTTGCAGGTTTGAACACATCAAGAAACAACCCCATTGTCCCTGGAACGTCGGCTGATACAAGATTCTTCATCAAATCAGAAAGCCGATTAGCCATTGTAGACGATGGCCTCGGATCAGTTCCATCAATCCAATACAGGCACAAGAGACAAGAGACATGACTTGCCCAAGTCTGAATGCGACACATGAGTTCGCGAATTCTCATGGATCTCGGTCCCTTGAAATCAAGAACAGAAACAAACTTCCCAAACAGCTCGATTTTCCTTTCTATGGAGGCAAATTGTTGCTTAACTACATTTGGCTCCAGTACCGGAGGAAGCAGATGAACAATTGTACCAAAAACAGCAAGAAACCTTCGAATAAATTGCATAAATAAATCTGTATCATCTCTATATCCATCAGGCGAAACCCGGGGCAGGGGAGAGTACTTACATTTGAATTCATCATCATCATCAGATAGTAAATGAATGCACATCTTTGATATTTCCGGCTTATTTACCTGAATAAATGTTTCCAGAGGACCAACGGTCAGATCCCAATTTGTGATCTTATCTCCTCCGGCTGCAGCTTCGAATCCCATTTGAAAACCCTTAGCTGCTCGCCGGAATCTTTCCGCCATGAAAGTCAAACGCAGCATCCCATCAGCTCCTAGGAGTTCCTCCGGGAAACCCAATCCCCAAAAGAACATTTTCAAGAAATTCAAGTCCAGAATCATAGCCCAGATGCGGAATTTCAGCGCATGATCAGAATGGGATAGATGATGCTCTTCATGTATTGATTTCAAAATTTGAATGGCAGAATCAACACATGTGTGATACTTTTTCAACTTCCACTTCCAATACTCCATGCTTTTGGTTGATTTGATCACACATTTACAGTGATTCACTCTTCTATTGCAGATGGAATCGTGAAAATAAATGGATGTCCTTCCACTTTTTCCTTGGTTTTATGAATGTAGTCTTCCAATGGTGTCCTAATTTATTGGTAGTCCCAATTCACAAAATTAGTGAAACAAAACAGCCAGCTTAAACAATGATTTTTCATATGGATGTCGTATCATTTTTTCGAACTAAGTGATTAAAAATTTGTTAAGGAAAGCTTAAACAATGCTTTTTAATATGGTAGTAGTTGCTTCCATCTCATACTAGAAAACTAATCATGATTTTATAGTATTTTAATTTTATTTACTAAAAAAGTCCGTCTTGTTTGGACAACAATTTATTTTGTATTTTATCTCATTTTACCTCCTAAAATACATCTCAAACACAAAATCCAATACTATCCAAATAACTTCTTAATTTACTTTTTAAAATTTGTTTCAAACATTATTTTTACACCATTTTTTTTACACAACCTTTGCCGCCACCGTTTGCTGCCAGACCGCCGCCAGCCGGCCTGTGGTTCGGTGGCGGCGCCGGTGGTGGAGGTGGTCCGATGGTGGTCTAAAAATATTACTATTTTATTTAAAATATTACCCAAATAAATTTTTAAATTTTCTCTAAAACCACATTTTAAATCACATCTCAAACCTAAATTAAAAATTAAAACAAAAACTAATGTTGGTCAAACAAGTTTTAATATTTGCAGAAACGGAAGAATGATAACATTTCATCGTATGGATGGATGGATTAGAATTGGTGTCTTTTTTTATTATGAGTGTTTTGGTACGTTAATGTGATCATCTTGTAATATGTTAGAGGATTCTTGATCTTTTATATCGCCTATTATTTGAGCTACTCTTGTATTAGTACTGTCAACATGTTTTATTTAGCTTTGAAAAAATAACTTGCATGAATTTAAATGACATTAGATGGTTGTGATAATACAATCGAATTAGAACCCTATTGGGCGTAGGCTCACCTTTTAATATTTTTGCCGCCACAGCTCCTTCAGAGGAGGAACTCAGATATTGGGGCTACAGTTTGTGAGTTTGGTTGTGGCTAGATATTTGTTTATGTAAATATGTGTACTGCTCACATGTATCTCTCTTCTTTTGTTGGCTTATGTAATCAGTAGCTTTTAGAGTTCCATTTTGAGTTATAAACTTGTTGATAGCAATCGCCATGTGGTGGTTGTGTGTAGGTTGAACTCTCAGCTCAAGTTACATTTGTCTAGTCCTAAGTGATGTACAGGTACCTAAAAGTAGTGCAAGTAGTTAGGTTGATGCCACTGGTTTGCTAGTTTTTGCATCTAAACTAGGTTCTTTGACTTAATAATGTCAATGCAGACCTTAATGTTCATTTTTAATAAAATGCAGTTCGATGCTTTAGCCCATTATGAGTTTAAACTAGTGTTCTTTGAAAAAATAAATTAATTTTAGTCCTAGCGTGAGCTAGGCTGACACTCAACTTCATTTCTCTTATTAAAAAAAAAGTGAAATTGGGGTGTCATAGAGTGGTATCAGAGCGTAACTCTGATTCATTGGGACCACTGTAGAGGAAATTAGGTGTAGGTTATTAACGTACATTGGAGGTTGCAGTAATCTTTTTAGAGATAGCACTTTACTCTGAATTTCTTTACTATGTGATTGAATGTAAATAGGATGTATTGCTGTTTGTTGTGGTTTTGAGTCTCTGTTAATCATATTTGTGATACATGCATATGCTTTTATATGTGTTTGTTGTATTAACCTAAACTCTAGGTTTCCTGCTATGTATATGGTTAATTATTATTGAATTTACGAATAGATGGAAGGTGATAGAACTTTAGGACGATCTACTGGAACTGAGGAAGGTGGAACTAGTGGGACTCGAGATGTGTTCGCAGAGAGAATGACTACTGCAGTAAAACAGATGTTGCAGTATTATGAGCAAATGGAGAGTCGCATGAAATAGCCACCTATTGAGATACCGAAAGATAAAGCACTGGAGCGATTTAAGATATTTGATCCCCCAAAATTTAGTGGAGAACAGTGGCTGGAAGATATGACAAAGATCTTTACCGTTCTTCGCTACTCTGATGAGCAAAAGATCGCATTCGCAGCATATCATTTTGTGGGTCCTGCTTTTAGCTGGTGGATGATAATAGAGAGGAAATGGGCTGATCAGTGTACTCCCAGAACATTGGATAATTTCTCAAAAGAGTTTCTTCGCAACTATATCACTGCAGTAGTTCGGGAACGGAGAGAAGACCAGTTTATTGGGCTGAAACAAGGGTCTATGACTGTTGCGCAATATCAGGCTAAATTCAATAGACTATCTAAGTATGTTCCTGAATCAGTCGAGACTGATGCCAAGAGAAAGAGAAGGTTTGGGCAAGGTTTGACTCTGGAATTGCAGTGAGCTATAGCATCTTCAAGAGCTGATTCTTTTGCCACAGTAGTGGCAGTAGCTGAGAATGTTGAAAACACTGATGATCAGATAAATCTACAATCTCAACAACAAGCTGGCCTTAGTGCATATCTTAAACCAAGAGGACATATCCCTCCACACAGATTTGGACCACCAAGTCAGTAGCTCCGCAAAGAGGTCGAGGTGGACAAGCTAATCTACAGAAGGCTCCAACAGTGACAAAGACAACTGCAATTTGCAACTATTGCCACAAGCCGAGACAGAAAAATACTATTGGGACAAGAATAATCAATGTCTTCGATGTGGGAGTTCAGATCATCAGATAAATGCCTGCCCATTGATGCAAGTGCAAGTTAAATCAGCACCACAACAAGGCAAACCACCCCAAAAGAAACCTGAAGGAGAAACTGCAAGCCTAGAGTGCCTACAAGGGTGTATGCAATAGAGAAGAAGGATGTTCCAGCAGCTACTAATGTGATTGAAGGTACACTACTTATATGCCATCGTTTTGCTAAAACTCTTATAGACCCTGGATCTACTCATTCATTTGCATCTCCTAATTTTCTGAGTAAAATATCTGTGAATGTTAAACATTTGCCATATTTGTTTGAATTTAGTACCCCTACCACTAGTCAGTTAGCAGTCACTGATAGTTTATATAAGGCCTGTGATGTTGAAGTTGGAGAGAAAAATTTTCCGGCAGATTTGATAACCTTGCCAATGTATGATTATGATGTGATCTTAGGTATAGACTGATTGTCGAAGTATCATGCTCAGTTAGACTGTAACTCAAAATTGGTAAACTTTTATACTCCGGAAGAACCCAGCGTAGAAATAAATATGAGAGGAAAACCCGGAACCACTGCTCTCATCTCAGGTGCACGTGCAAGGAAAATGTTGTGGAAAAGAGCTAGTGGATATCTAGCATATCTAATTAATAAGTCAGCTGATAAAACAAAGCTTGAAGAGGTGCCAGTGGTTAGAGAATATCAAGATGTATTTTCCGAGGAGGTTTCTCTGCCCCCTGAACGTGAGATCGAGTTTGTAATTGACTTGATACCTAGATCCACTCCTATATCTCATGCATCTTATAGGATGGCCCCTACTGAGTTAAAAGAGCTGAAAATCCAATTGGAGGATCTTCTTTCACGTGGCTTTGCTCAACCAAGTACTTCACCTTGGGGAGCTCTAGTTTTGTTTGTGAAAAAAAAAAGATGGAACTCTAAGATTGTGTATTGATTATCGTGAATTGAATAATATAACCATCAACAACAAGTATCCCCTACCTTTAATTGATGAGCTGTTTGATCAATTTCAAGGGGCAATGGTGTTTTCTAAGTTTGATTTGAGACAAGGATACTACCAGCTATGAATTAGGAAGGAGGACATACCGAAAACAACCTTCAATACTCGTTATGGGTACTATGAATTTGTTGTAATGCCTTTCGGCCTTACTAATGCATCTGCAACTTTTATGGACTTAATGCATCGTGTTTTTAAACCTTTTCTTGATCAGTTCGTGGTGATCTTTATTGCTGACATTTTGGTGTATTCCAAATCCTTGGAGAAGCATGAACAACACTTAAGGATGGTACTTCAGAAGCTGCAAGATCATAAGTTATATGCCAAGTTCAGTAAGTGTGCTTTCTGGTTCGAAAAAGTCTCATTTTTTGGGCATATTATCTCTCAACAACGCATCACTATTGATCCATCTAAGGTGGAGATAATATTGACATGGAAAAGGCCTGAAAATGCCATCAAGATACGGAGTTTCTTGGGGCTAACTGGTTATTACCGTCGCTTTGTAAGGAACTTTTCTAAGATAGCAGCTCCTCTAACGAGATTAACTCAAAAGTAGGTGAAATATGAATGGAATGAAAAAGCTGAATCTAGTTTCCAAGAGTTAAAGAGAAGGCTGACCTCTGCTCCAATATTGGCTTTACCCTCTAGGCAAGATAATTTTGTGGTGTATACAAATGCTTCCAAAGAAGGGTTGGGCTGTGTATTGATGCAGAATGGAAGATTTATAGCTTATGGATTGCAGAAGCTGAAAACTTATAAGAAGAATTACTCGATGCACGATTTAGAGCTGGCTGTAGTAGTGTTTGCCTTGAAGAAATGGCGGCATTATCTTTATGGGGTTAACTTTGAGGTAAATATTGACCATAAGAACCTGAAGTATTTGTTTTCCCAAAAATATTTGAACCTGAGGCAGCAAAGATGGATGGAATTCTTGCAATATTATGACTGCAACGTTAATTATCACCCGGGGAAAACAAATGTAGTGGCGGATGCATTGAACTGGAAAGTGCAAGTGGCCCGATTAATGGTGAAAGAAACTCAGCTGCTTGAGAAAGTTTTTGATTGGAATCCAGTCGTGTGTAAAGAAAGGGTCTTGTTTGCTAATATTACTGTACAATCTTCCTTGCCATCAAGAATAAAGGAAGCTCAAGATAAAGATCCCGAAATCCAGCAAAAGAAGGAAAAAGCTCAACCTGGGAAGTTGCCGGATACACTGTAGTTGTTGATAGAAATCTTAAATATAAGGAACGATTGGTGGTACCTTCAGACTCAGCATTAAGAAGAGAAATTTTGGAAGAAGCTCATCGTTCTAAGTATACGATTCATCCGGACAGTAACAAGATGTATAATGATTTGAAGCGGCATTATTTCTGGGATTACATGAGGAGGGATATAGCAGAATATGTTGCAACCTATTTGACATGCCAACAGGTGAAACTTGAACATCAACGTCCCGCAGGTTTGATGCAGCCCTTGGAAATCCCTGAATGGAAGTGGGAGCATATTATGATGGATTTCGTAGTTGGTTTACCAGAACTAGAGCAGGACACGATGCTATATGGGTTGTGGTTGATAGGCTCACAAAATCAGCTCACTTTCTCCCTGTTAATGTTAAATACTCATTGGAGAAATTGGCAAGAGTCTATTTGGATGAAATTGTTCGGTTACATGGGGTGCCAACAACTATTATTTCAGATAGAGATCCCCACTTTGTCTCTCGATTTTGGCAGTAGTTACAGCAAGCTTTGGGCACCAAATTAAACTTCAGTACCTCAGCTCACCCTCAGTTTGATGGACAGAGTGAAAGAACCATTCAGACACTCGAAGACATGCTTCGTGTTTGTGTCCTTGACTTTGGAGGAAGTTGGGATCATCACTTAACTTTGATTGAGTTTTCTTATAATAATAGTTATCATTCTTCTATTGGAATGACTCCTTACGGATCTTTGTATGGAAGGAAATGTCAAGCACCTGTTTACTGGGAAGAGATTGGAGAGGGTAAACTCAATCCTTTAAGTGTTCCAGGGATGGAAGAGGCTTATGAAAAGGTGAAGTTAATAAGGCAACAATTGCAAACTGCCCAAAGTCGCCAAAAGAGCTATGATGATAATCGTAGGAGGGATCTGGAATTCGAATTGGAGATTGAGTTTTTCTGAAAATATCACCAAAGAAAGGAATAATTAAGCATGGCAAGTAAGGGAAACTGAGTTCACGCTACATTGGTCCATTTGAGATCGTTAAAAAGGTTGGAAAGGTTGTTTACAAACTGGAATTGCCTCCTAATCTTTCAAGAATGCATGATGTTTTCCATGTTTCACTACTTAAGAAATATAATCCCAACCCTGAGAAGAATTGGAGTTTGATGAAAATCTATCATTTGAAGAGAAGCCTATAAGGATTCTACAAAAAGAGACCAAGGAGTTAAGAACCAAAAAGATTCCATTGGTCAAGGTATTGTGGAAACACCATGGGATCGAAGAGACAACGTATCGGAAGAGGATATAAAGAGCAAATATCCTTAACTTTTTACGAACGAGGTAGGAATTTCGAGGACGAAATCATTTTAAGGGGGAACGGTTGTGAGGTCTCATATTTTAGCTCTTGTTAAGTTATGTTTTAATATTAATATTGTCATTGCATTGTTTGAATTTGTGTAAGTTCTAGGATGAGTGTGTGGTGATTTAAATTTTATTAGTATAAGTATTCATAAGGAAAATACCAGTAGGCTTATATTGGTTGTTTAAACTATTTTGTAGTTAGGAAATAAAACAAATTTTAAATAAATAAATAGGAGCTGGTCAATTTCTAAACTAACTTATAATATGACTAGCCAAACCTATTAAGCTAGTAAAATAAAATAATAAGATAATTAGTTTTTTAAAAAATAAAAAATAAACAAAATAAACAAAAAAAAAAAAAAAAGATTGAAAGAAAGGGGGGCTGGAATGAACGGGAAAGACAAAGAAATTTAGAGGAGAAAAGAACTAGGAAGGTTAGCAAGAGGAACAACTAGGAGTTGGGGTTGGAACTAACGGAAATCAACAAGCTTCAAGGCAAGTAAATCTTTCATTCCTCACCTCAATCATCTTGAATGTCCATTGATAACTTGCTGGAGGTTGTGTATGGATTTAGTATAGTTGTTAGATATGGAATTATACGGATTAATGCTCAACAAATTGAAGAAATAGGGATAGATGAGCTAGGATTGGCATGGGCTAGGTTATGGTTTATCTTCCATTTAGAATTCAACAATCGTATATTAATAAAAGAGGTGGTGCTTAAATTCTTCTGATTTTTATTGTTTAGGAAAGGAGTATATGTGGATGATTCTCGGCTTTGTTGCTATTACATGCCTTGTTAACTTAAGAAATTAGATATGTTGAAGTTGCACTCGTAGGAGTATCGAAACGTAGTCCGTTCTTGAAGCTGAAACCTCTTGTCTTTTGATGTCTGTTTTTGCTAAACTTTTATTTGATTTTATTCCTCATTTGATGAGTATGATGGTTCCTCATGTGGTTGTTTAATTGGAGTAATGATAGTCTTAAAAAGGAAGACCATTTATGTATGATTTAGTTCTGAAATTTCAGAAATTATCCAGTCTGAGTAGTTGTTTTGCAAAGCCTTGTTCTCCTAGCTCTGAAAACATTTTGAGGTGTTTCTTTTCATGAATACCTTCTTCATTCAATTTAGTTTAATCTGGTTTTTACGGTTTATCAATCGGATTTACGAATTTCTAAGAATTTGGATTTGAAAATGCCCAATCGTTACGGATGGTCTGATTCTGAAAAATTCCTGGTGCAGGGTACTTATTTCAACGTCGAATTTCTTCTATTTAACAAGTCGTTTTTCCTGATTTATTTCATTGAATCTATTCTATTTTTAACCTATTTTTACTGGTTTTAACGGTTTCCAAATTGGACATTTGGTTGGATGGGAAATCGACAATGAAAAGAGGTCATCGCTGCTGCGATTTTTGAATTTTCAGAACTGATAGACTGACTTTGAAATGTTTCTTTCCTCTTTGATTTAATGCTCTTATCGACGTATGGATAGATTATGGTTAGCTTTAGTAGGCGTGCACGAGCTATGAATACTTGCTTTGTTGTGGCCACTTGGTGTAAAGGAGAATGCGTTGCTTCTTGAATGAATGAAAGGATCTCTTCCTGGAGTCCAGTTGGGAAATTGACCAACAAGGCCATATAGGCCCTTGGTGTTTCCATTCTGAGGCTCACGTGTATCCTCTCTTCGTTGTAAATGATGATCCTAGATGTGATCATCTTGTAATGTGTTGGAGGATTCTTGATCTTTTATATCACCTATTATTTGAGCTACTCTTGTATTGGTACTGTCAACATGTTTTATTTATCTTTGAAAAAATGACTTGCATGAATTTAAATGACACTATACAGTTGTGATAATGCAATCGAATTGGAACCCTATTAGGCGTAAGCTCGCCCTTTAATATTTTTCCCTCCACAACTCATTCGGAGGAGGAACTCGGATATTGGGGCTCGTGAATTTGGTTGTGGATGGATATTTTGCGATGTAAATATGTGTACTGCTCACATGTATCTCTCTTCTTTTGTTGGCTTATGTAATCAGTAGTTTTTAGAGTTCCATTTTGAGTTGTAAACCTATTGGTAGCAATCGCCATGTGATGGTTGTGTGTAGGTTGAACTCTCAGTTCAAGTTGCATTTGTCTAGCTCTAAGTGATGTACAGGTACCAAAAAGTAGTGCGAGTAGTTAGGTTGATGCTACTGGTTTGCTAGCTTTTATATCTAAACTAGGTCCTTTGATTTAGTAATGTAAATGCAGACCTTAATGTTCATTTTTAATAAAATGTAGTTTGTTGCTTTAGCCCATTATGAGTTTAAATTAGTGTTCTTTGAAAAAAAAAAAAAATTAATTTGAGTCCTAACGCGAGTTAGGCTGACACTCAACTTCATTTCTCTTATATATATATAAAAAAAGAGTGAAGTTGGGGCGTCACAGCGCACGCGATGTTTACCTTTAGCAAAAATAGATAACATCTCTACTTTTATCACATCTTCCCTCCGGTCTTTAGTATATCGTACAAATAACTGATTTGTAAAATAAAAAAATAGTTAAATTAATCATTGTTTGATGAATTATCTATATTACTCATATTAAAAATGTCCTTATTCTTTTAGGAACCAACCAAATAAAGTGTAGTTTATTTAAATTGAAATAAAGTTGAAACTACACTATAAATAAAACTTTAAGGACATCAAATGCCTTACAAATAAGACCAAGGAAACCTTAAAGATGCATTAGAATCCGTACAGGAGGGAGTATTACTGTAGAAAGCTTTTTTTTTTTTTTTTTTTTTACGTAAATTTTGCGACCTAGTGCATACATGCATGTAAAAGACCCTTACAGTACTCCCCGTTCATATTAATTAGATAGATGATACGTATAATTTCATAATGTTTTGAAATAATGTATCTCTAACAATTTTGTTAAAGTGTAAGTGATATATGAAGCATATTTTTACAAGGAAATTAAAAGGAGTGTTACAGGGGAAAGAAATGTATCGAATATTCTAAACAGAATAGAGTTCAATGTTAGACACTATTTTTCTTTTTTTTTTTTAATTTTTAGATGTTGCCATTAGACACTATTTAGAATGAATGTAACCGAATAATGTTACAATGGACCAAAGCGGCATAAGCTTCCAATTTCATACGGGATGGTATGTATGATTTCGGAATTCGGAAGCAATTTGGTGAAAATGTTCTTGATGACTATTATAAGAGCATCTTTAGTGGTGGTTAATAAGAGGTAAATAATTATTCTATCACATTCATCACCATTGTATGAAGTGTAAGAAATTATCATGGTGTAAGAATTCTTACACTGTTGAACACATGGTTTGATGGGCCATCAAGTAATTAATAAAAATTATTCTATTTAATTTTTTTTTTTTGAATGATTGAAACAATAATAATGAAAATTGATGCTAAGTGTTTGAATTTTAGTTGTGTTGGTTGTTCTTTCGAATTTTATGCACTTTTTTTTTTCAATGTCTAATTATTTATTTATGTGATTCATTTTAAAATTTAATATTTGAGTTTTGTCCATGAATTTCTTAAAATTTTCATTTCAGGTTGTATTGAATATGTAATACATTTAAAGTATTTCTTGTACTTGGAAGAGGATACTGAACAGAGAAAAAACTAAACCCCAACCATAGTAGAAAAAGAACTTTGCGCATCATCTTTGCTGAAAATGCCTCACAATGTGGGATGGCAAATGTATACAATATAAGCCATTCAAATCATCACGCTTAAGGCACTAAGCCAAATACAAAAGCGGATGGCATCAAGACTAAAAATCTATATATGGCTTAACTAAGCAGTAGTAAATCTTGCTCTTATCAATCAGTATTCAATCCTGCTGAAAAGAGGACTAAATGACCATAGCCGAAAGTCTACTAACACACCAAAAGCAGCTTATTTCCCTGCTGTATTTGAGGATGATTGATTAAAACTTCGTAGGATATACCCTCACATTATCAAGAACAGGGCCGCAAAGGGTTCCATAGTCATCGATCTTTTGGTGGTAAAACGAGCTGTAGAATGTTATTCTTGTCCTGTCTGAAATAGCCTTGAATTTGAGGCTAGCACTCTTGAATTGGCCCTTCCCTACGGATTGGAAAGGAACTTTCACAGTAGCGCCGGCAGCAAACGCTTCGACCATCATTGATCCGTGGCAACCATTTTTCGCGTCGCCAACCATGAATACGAGGTTGTACATCTTGTTAGGGACTGTTCTGATAATTTGTGCAACTGCACTCTCTCTTCCTGCCACCAATTCTAAAGCTGCAATTCCGCGAGGGACATTGAAATGAGCTTTATCGATGAATTTCACAGCCTTGAGTGATTCGATAACCCATCCAGGGAGTGGTGATGTCTTGTCTTCCTGCCTTGGAGGTAGAAGCACACCATAGGATGTGTTAATTAACCTGTGAGGACCCTCCTCAAAATCTCCATTCTTGACCAAGTTCACTGCAAACAGTTATTCCACAAATGAATAAACAAAAATGTATGCAACTTCATTGTGGACTGTCTCAAAAAAATGGGAAATCTTGCTGAATTTCTAAATGGTTGGAAATGAATTGAGGGTTATGATCTACTACGACATGAAGACATATTAGGACAAAGACATCTATTATTCTGACCAATGCTGCAGCCCCACTTGTCTAGAATGTCCAATGGATAAGTTAGGGGCTCATTAAAATCTACAGGTTCATTCTAACACCTCTTTCAGTCAGCTTCACTTATTAACAAATCTACTCCAATCCTACAATGGCACCAAACACACAGAATTTCTGCAGATCTAGGACTGAAGAAATAGGGATTTTAATATTGTTTGGAGAACTATACATTTCACAACTGAAAAGGGCAGATCATGGATAAGCAAGGAATCTAATAGGTAACATCTGACAGAAACATAAATGAATTATCAACAATGGTGAAAATGGAATAAATGTATACCTCTAGATGGCCTAGGTGGGGCGAGTTCTTTGATAGCAACAGCATCAACAAGTGGACCACAAGCAGGATCCTCTTGAACTCCAGGATTGTGAAAGGTGATTTTGACATAATTAGAGGTGGCAATGAAACCCCAAGCAATTGTGTCTCCACCATTGCTGCTATACAGAGTTTGCAGAGGGATATCCCCTGTTTGAGAAGGCACAGAGACCCTCAAAACCTCATCTTGTGCACAGGTTCTTGAAGCCCCAAATGTGAGTGCATAAAGAGTTCCCTTTTTCACAGGAATTGTTTGGGAAATGGTGGCCTCATTCCCAAGCCTAACAGCATGAACACCATGAGCTACTGCAAAGTACATTCCACCAGGTTGAGGTCCTCCCTGAATGTACTCAACTCTGCCAGTAATCTCCCATTTGGGTAGCGCATTTTTCCGCAGAAGCACTGTTTTCTTAATGTTCTTTGGGTTTGGTTGTTCTTCAAAGTTTCCATTTGGAAGAAGTCCTGAAGATGAAAGAAACAGGACACCATATAATTAGTATAGTTTAAAACAACAAAGATGCCTTTTTTTAAGACCAAATCTAACATTAAAACTGTATACATACAGCAGCAAAGATGCGTTCTTTGGGTAGAAACCAACACAAAAATCTACAATTTCCTTAAAAGGGAACCAAATAAACTGGAAAGAAGAGCTTTTTTTTCCATTTTTATGGTGAAATAACAAAAACCCAACAACCAGAATGGACCATTACAGAAGTCCAGTCAAGAAAACACAACTACTAAAGATCTAGCTCAAAAATAACCAAAACCCAAACAAAAAAATGAAATGTGGGAAATGAGATTTAACCTTCTAGAGGACGGTGAGGAACAATCCTCTTAGCAGCAGCAACAGTAAAAGCAGAGGTTACTAAGAGTAAGAAGAACAAGGGAGACAAAGAAGAAATGTGTATGGCCATTTTTTGATTTGGAAAAGTAATCAAAGAAATGAGAATGGAAGAGAGATCTAAGATAAGGAATGAAGGTGAAATGAGATGCAGCTGGGCTTATATATATATATAAAGTAATGGCAAATGCAAGAAGAGGGGTTGAGGAGGGGGACAGTAGGGAAGTGTGGAGAGAAGGTTCACTCTGCAGCGCAATTAGTAGCAGCACACAGTCACACACTCACCCCTGATTATTTTGTCGGCTTGTCTTAAATTAAGAGCTACTGTTTCTGATTATTGAAAGATTTCTCCATAATCTATGCCTAATCCACGCCAACTCCTGCAAAGTGCAAAACCTACATTGCTTTTCTGCTTCTTTTTTTTTTTTCCCCTCCAATTACTTTTTACTTTAGCTTTAGGATTTCATCTTTCTATTTTTTAAAAAGGGAGATTTTTTTCTTCCGAAACATTGATATATAACTGTAAGTGAACACATATTACACTCAAACTGAGTTTCGCTTTCAATTCAGGTTAATTTCTTTAGGAGTAAAAGTCTTTTAACACTAATCTGGCCACACACAAAAACTTTTACTATATGTTCACTATGTGTTCACTTTCTCAATTTGTTGCAGGGGCGGCTTCACCATAAAGTTGCCGCTTTAGGCCCCCAAATATTACAGTCCCCTAATTTTTAATATTATGTATATCACCTAAAAAATGTTATTTACAAAACTAAAAATAAATTAATTCAAGTAATCCAATAAATGTTTTAATATACTAAAATAAAATCAATATTGAAATTGTAGTTTCTGGTACGAAGATGTAGTAAGTTAACTCTCCCTACTATATACCATTGGCTTTATAAAACTTGATTCAAAGTGACAAAAAGAGTTTTTAACCCCTCGTATTCTAAATTTTTGGATTTATAATTGTCAGTCTAAAATCTAAATAAGGAGAAAGATTAACTTTTTCTTTTTTACTTAGTTTCTTTATTTTTGAAAAGCCCAAATTTTGAAATTTGCTTTAGGCCGTTAAGACGTTGCCCCTGATTTGTTGTGACGTTGCAAACTCTAGCTGTGATTTGAAAATGGCGCAGAATGGAGGGAGATAACCCACAAAAGGATACCCGATTTATATAAACTGCTTTTTTTTTTTTTTTTTGTGCGTTTTGGGTTCGGGGAAAAAAAATGGAGTGCAATGTTATATTAATATTTTCTAGGATGTAAAACCTGAAACAAAGCATTGTGTAACACACGCATATTTTAGAGGAAGAACTAGAAGATGTAACCAATCAGAGATCTAGGAGCAATCTAGGTCAGGTATTATCTGTTCTGAACTCCTCCTAGGTCAAGAGGTTTAAAGAAATGTAGTTTTAAGCTTTCAGCACGAGGGTAATTAAATCATGTCTGCTAAAGTCAACCAATAATCCACCTGAAAATGCATTAATCCGATCATTATGGTAGCATTATTTTTAGCGCCAAATTACAGAATTTTTTTGGTTGATGAAAAAAGAAGTTTCGGTGCAAATAACAAAATTAAAAAAGGCCCTTTGGATCTCCTACATCTTTTGGTGTTTCGTGTGAACAAGAGCTTGCCCCCCTACAATCAACTCGAACTTCCAATATGTGCATCAAGAAATAATCGTTGTGGGATTTTTACCTTCTACAAGAATTTATCCAAGTTAAAAGAAGATTAGTCAGAAATAATCCTTACCAGTATTTTCTTCTCTTTTTTTTTTGAACAAAAGCGATATTGATGATTAAGATAAAAGACGAAGTTCAAATCACTTACGATGAGTTAAAACAATATGTCTTATATGACTCATCTAGCTATAAAGGGCGTGATTCTCCCAACTTTGTGTACTCTTAAAACAATCATATCAAGAGTGACATAACACTGATTCAATGAAAAGGAAATGCATGAATTACAAACAGGCATCAAAGTACATTAGCGTTAAATCTATGATATAAGATGCCATAAATCATAATATAATCATATCAATCAACTACAAGTACTTGGTAATAGGGACAATTTTGTTTGGCAAATCAAAGGCTTACACGTAGACAAGATTTCTATTTCTTTTTTAAGGAATAAAAGTTGGGAAGATTCTTTCCTAGTTGGTCCGTTCTTTGGGCACTTCTTCGTCAAAGAAGCAAAGAACTGACAAAGAAAAAATCGGTTCGTCGCTTATAATGGTTAAATTATACTATATCATCATTAAATTAAGGGGGTGCTTTGGAGCTGTGTCATTGGTCTGTCTAATAATCACCGATTTAGGGGATCATTGGATTTATTAATTTAATATATTAACGTTTTGTTGTCTCACCAGACTCAATCACATGAATATTTGGAAGTTTTTTGAACATCGACAAAGTAATAGGATAAAAAAAAAAATTGTCTCGAGATAAATTATGCCATTAAAAATTGAATTGTAATTGAAATATTACCTCCGTCCCAAAAAAATTGTCTACATTGAGTTTTTAAATTTGTACTAAAAATAGTACAAAATTCAAAACTCAATGTGGCCTAATTTTTTGGACGAAGGGAGTATAATATTGTACATGTAATATATTTACGTAAAATACTAATCTAGTTTATTCAGACATTTGTCTATACGAAAGAAAAAAAGAACATATTTTTTCTCACTTGTGTGTTCGCAATTTACATACTAGATATCACTAGATTGTTAATATAACTCTTTCATTTACACTTTTTATGTGGTGGGCTGATAATTTTGTTTTTTTTCCCACAAATGTCTGTTATTGTAAAATACAATTTTATCGGTGTTTTATGCCACGTATTATGGTTACCAAAAAAAAATCTACAGATACCTATATTTCCAACGTAACTTTTAATTAGTATATACAGCCGAAATCCAAATGTATAAAACTCAATCGAATCACAAAGAAACCTTCCTTTGGTTACACTTTTCTCTTTGAGTACCTAACGAGAAAACAAAATCATAAACCAAATCAGTTCATGTAGTGTGGCCCGGCCCGAACGTGCAAAATATTCGATTATTTCAATTTAATGAACGAGATATACTTACTTCCCCCAAATATAAAACACAAATTAATTAATGATAAAGTTAGTTTAAACTTATATCTTATAATTAAAATACTCCCTCCGTCTCATAATTATTGTCCAGTTGGAGTTTTCATTTCTAGTTCAAATTGTACTAAAAATGAAATCTTAAACTGGACAATAATTTTGGGACAGAGGGAGTAAAAGGAAAATATTTTGTTAGTGACAAAAAAAAAACTTCATCCTAAGACAAAACTAATTACGTAGGAAGATGAAACAGAGTATATCTTCTCTCCCATCGATCTAGATGGGCGGCGGGGCCCAATTTGATTGAAAACGTTGAAACACAAAATACTAGTAGCACTATTTTGATTGAGGTTGTTGCCGTGATTTCCTCCGGTGACGGTCCCCCACCATGTGACGGTCCGGGGACTCTGGACATAGTCATTACGGTGGCACATTGTTATCCCATGGCCCACACCTAAAATTAAAAGTTGTTTTAATCATCCATTTATTTTTTTCGATTTTTTTTCCCCATCCTATCAATCCCGAAATGGAAACATGAGTGGCGCCGCATATGGATAGATTTGGATTTTGGTGGGAAGAAAGAAAATTGACGTCTTCTATAGCAATATTTTCGAGACCACCGCAAGATGTCGTTATTCTCTTTATATTTTAAAATGATCGTTCTGTTTATTATAAATGGAGTAATAATTGTTTTAAAACAAAATAATACTTCTACCATGCGAGTTATTTCTTGAATCACATAAGAGGACAAGATTTTGACAAATTACAATATTCTTTTTTTTTCTGTTTGGTTTAAGTATTTTCTTTACTCCGAAATAATTATCTGATTTGAAATTTCACTGTTAGAAAAAATTATTCTAAAAAATTCAAACCGAATAATCATTTTAGACCAGAAGAGTGATTTAGAAGTCAATTTATTGCTATGAAAAATTGTAGATTGCCAAAGCAAAAGTCGCAACTAAAAGAAGTTCATAGAGGGAAAATAAAATGTGGTGGTTTTGGAGTCTTGTGATAATGATATAACCTTTGAATTTTGGATTTCAAACCTCAAAAAACATATCATTCCTTGATTGGACTTGAACGTCAATCTTCTTGATTGGTGTCATTGATGATGGAGGGATTATGGTGATTGTTGTAAAAGTATTAACAAAAAGAAAGTACCATTGACTTCGTTGCATCATGATCGGCAATTACTTGTGAAATCATATCAGTTTAAAACAAACGTCGAGATCCATGTTATTTGACTCAGTCTCACACATGCATATTATGCCTTATGTTTTGGGTACATATTTGAATCAATAAGTGTGTTATTATTTCTTACTAATAACACCTGGTTAGCTTTGCCTTATCGATACAAAAAAAATAAGGTTTAATGAGGACCAAAACCAATTTTTTGAATGATATTAAGATGACCATCAATCATGAATTCTCTATGATCTTATTTGTTCATCATTATTCCAAGTTCCAGTGTTAAGTAATTGTTTGCAAAAAGAAGCTAAATTGGGTACGTTTCAAATGATGTATATACTCCATAAATTTGGGTTTTTTAGTAATCTTTTTAGAAGGAGCTCTTTCTTGTCTTCCCCTTTGTCTAATCTCTTGAAGGCTGCTTCTACCTGTGCATTAGAAACCAAGTTAGTAGAAAATAAATTAATTTACCCATCTCGTTTGAACCGTATAATAATATGGAGTATTAAAATGGGACGGATGAAATATTTTTGTTTTTTAATGCAAAACATTTAAGTACTGATTGAAGTCTAGCCTCCACAAAGTTGGTGAACTTGATTACCTCCTTGTTCCAATCAGTTCGAATTGTAACCCAAGCAAAATGATCGTCTGCACTATGGTACCCCCCAAGTATTCCAGTCCATAATCCCTAAAAAAGCACCAACATATTATAAATTAGTGATCATTTTCTTTGTTTTTTTTTTGGTTCTTTAGTTTCATCCTCTAATAAATATTTAAAACTTCAAAACATGATAATGTTAGTAGTTTAAGTCGTTGAAATTCCTATACTCTATCAGTTCCAAACTTAGAATCATACTTTTTGTTAATTAATTAAAACAGTATTTAACTGTATAAAAAACGAGGGGCAAAAAAAAAATTGAAGTCTGTACCTTTGCACCAAAGCCAAGACAGCCATTGCAGCGATTAGGGAAACGATTAAGGATACCACATTCACCACCAACACTGAGAATGCTGCTGCTTTTGGGTGCCCCTAATAACGTGTTTGTGATATTATTACAAATAAAAAGTGTAATTACATTATCTGTGAATTTATTCAGTGAGATGATTCCTTACAGAAAAAATATAATATTAATAATAATGTTACGTTAATAA